AATGGCCACTGAGAGCCTTGAGTAGACTTTCTGAAGTGAATTTCACATTATTGTAAGAACGCGGGACTAGAGGAGCCTCTCAACACCATATGGTCTAGTCCCTTGTTATCACATGGAATTGCAGTAGCCAATCCCGCCTAAATTCAGTAGAGTAACTAGTTAGCTTGTTCATCTTCTCTATTGCTCTAGAAAGCTCAGACCACAATCTCAAAACTGTATTATTAATATAATCCTGTTATAACCAAATTCATTGTCATTAAGTTATTCTCTGTTTGCTTAGAATTTCAGGGTCAACTTTGGGATCAACCTGAAAAGTGATCCCAATACCATATCCATAAGCAGGAAAAATATGTAAATAAAATGACCTAAAGATGGCAATTTAAACTTTACTTCAAATTAAAATAAAAAATATACAGTGGAAAAAGACTGTCAGAAAATTAACGGAGATAGAGAATAACATTTTTTTGACATAATCTTTAGGGGTTTGGGAAGAAGCACTTAACGTGGTGAAATGCCATGAAAATAAACATCATAGCTAGTTAATTAACATTTATATAAATAACCTTTTATTAAGAAATCTATTACAGTCTTACTAGACACACCATCAGTAGTTGCTAGCTGAAATGCAAGATCCAAGCCTCCTCTTATTCTAAAGAGTATGTCCATAGCTTCTAGAATTACCTAAGGACAAAAAAGAAGCAATGAAAATGAACAGTTGTTTCAACATGCTTTCTCTCAAGTTACAATTGACTGTTATTATGCCACAGTGTGGGAGCACACCGGTAATTACTGCAGCTGCTCGGGGTACAAGAGGCCAGTGAATAAACAGGGAACTGAGCAGCACAGCAGCACATAGTTGCCGGAGCCAGTACCTCAATTACATGGGTGCTGCTACAAACACAGTCCTTAAAACACATTTCCTACCTAAACATGAAAGTCTTAATTCTACACTTTTACCATTTAGAAATATTTTGGGTAAAACGTCATTGTTTCTCATTGTTTCAATCCAAACATCATGTTTCCCATCTTATGGGTCTTCTTCCAGTTCAAGTAAACCAAGAACTGCTCTGAGCGTTAGAGCAGAAAGGTAATTAAGCACATCTGTAAGCGTGCGTTCACCCTGGTTAGGAAATCACAGCTTCAGGGAAAGAAAAAAAAAACCACGGGGACACACACACACACACACAAAAAAAACCCCTCTAGAACCCAGGCTGAGTTTCACTTTTGACAGAGGAGCTGCTTATGCTAGCACAGAGACGACCCAGTTGTTTCTTTCCCCTTCCGAAGTCCCTGCTCTGTGTCCCCAAAACTGCTCATTGCAGACGTTTTAACATGAACTTCAGAGAACTCATCCAGATGGAAAACCACCCTTTTATTGAGAGAAGGTTTTTTCAGCCAGATCAATTCCCAGGCAAGTTCAACATACTGCTACAAAAACAGTTGTGCCAGTACACAGAGGAACAAAAGGAAACAGTGCAGAAGAGCGTGGGTATTGCTCAATCCAACAGTCCACAAAAAGAAATGCTTCACAGCCTTAAGTGCTCTAAAAAAACCACCAAACACCTGTAAGAATAATTACACTGAGACCCTTCGGAAAGACTCATCACATAACTGTTTGCTTACAAAGTATGGGAAACTTCCAGCTGCAATGCTATCATTATTAATGAAATAAAAGAATTGAAACATAGGACTAATTTTCTTTCCATTAAAAGTATTCTAAGCAGAGATATATAAAAAGATATGCATGCCTGAAAATATAAGCATCTACACTTTTAGCTTTGGGCAAAGGATTTTCAGGTTTCCGTGATTCTGGAGTGCCAAAGTTTACTCCAAGAAACAAAAAAGGCAAGATTGCAGTGTCTAACATCTTGGTTTCTGAAGCATAACCCTGAACTATTCTGGATAACACAGTTATCTACATTAAAAAGGTCTTGGACCGTGGGATCCACAAGTGCCAGCATGTGAAAAAAAGTTTGCCTGGGTTGATGTGAAAGATATTTTTTATTTGAATTATTACAACGCAAGAATAAGGTTTACAAATGAAAAGCAGAGCTCTGCGAAAAGAGTAAGAGGGGATTTAGCCTTTTGATAGCGGCTCATCGTGGATGATGATGTTTTCCGACAAATCCCTGGCAGAAGCCACGCAGGCTGAGACCCCCAAGGGCGACAGGGAAAGGCTGCTGCGAGGGGCGGATGAAGGGGGCAGCTCGGGAGGCGCCACTGCCCCGCCTGACACAACCTGGGCCCTGCAGAAGAAAGGGCCTCGCACCCTGAGCTGCCCAAGGGGCCTCGACACCTGCCCCCGAGGCGCCAAGGGGGGCTGGAGGCCCAAACGCCGCCGCGGAGCAC